GATTTCTGTACTCTGAAGTTATGGGATCCAAAATATCCATACAACATAGTTTAACAAACTCTGGATTGTTACCGRCATATCTGACTCGAGGCGCAATACAGTCGAGCTAAATGGTCTGTTCATTTTTGCACTCACCATTAGCTTTGTTCATTATCTTCTGAAAAACATATTTTGCTAGATTTACCATCTTATGCTGCTATTTATTCCAGGAATACAAAGCAACGTTTGGAAACCTGTTTTGTGTTTGTGCCAGTGCAGCTCTCCGTCCCGAACAAGTTTCCAGCCAAGCTTCAGCAGGATATCCGTCCTGAAAGATTGATGAGGGCTAGCCATCAGCCATTCCTGGTGTAATGAACTGTGCTTTATTGTGATTTGTTATGAGGCATAACACTGCATCATTCTTCCTTTCAATTCACAACACATTAGGGTGTCTTAATTATTAATGAAATAAGTTGTCAAATCTTTTGCAGCAGTGCATGTGAGTCACTCCGGCTTTCTGTCAGCTGAAATCATGAACTCAAATAAAAGACTCGGGATGCTCGTTTCTGTTTCTGATGTTTTTGATMACTTAAAATTGAATTTACACCCCAGATTCTGGTTTATTGCATTAACTCTAGGGGGAAAAAACACCCTAACCACTCACTCTGAACAACCTTGCAGAATTCCATCAAATCTCATGTTGCATGGAGTTCACGTTTAGTGTTTATCACCAAAGTTGTTTTCTGTCTGCGAGGAAATAGCAACAGTTCTTTAAGAGGATCAATACACATGGAGAAAAGATAAACAGCTCATATCTCTGATTTACATCTATAAGAAGTTTATACATTTGCCAGAGTTTTGCTGTCAGTTGGTACAAAAACATGGACAAATCCAAACAGTTTGTTTTGGCATTTTCCCCCACCCCTAAGATAAAGTTAACCCACACTTATGCCTTTTTATCTTCATTTTTTTAGTACCGCTCACTGCCAATAGCCAGTAATGTTGTGTGTGTGTGTGTGTGTG